AACAGAACTTGACAACACCTTTTGTCAAACATAGTTCCTCCTACTTAATAGTAGTAATTGGGGAGACCACTCATGTTGGCTTTATCCAGAAGCAAAACAAACTTCACATAACTTTTTGTTGTTGTTGTTCGTTTTTTAAACTTCGCATATCTTTTTTGTTTTGTTTTGTTTTTGAGGCGGAGTCTCGCTCCGTCGCCCAGGCTGGAGGGCAGTGGCGCGATCTCGGTTCACTGCAAGCTCCGCCTCCCGGGTTCACACCATTCTCCTGCCTCAGCCTCCCGAGTAGCTGGGACTACAGGCGCCCACCACCTCGCCCGGCTAATTTTTTCGTATTTTTAGTAGAGACGGGGTTTCACCGTGTTAGCCAGGATGGTCTCGATCTGCTTACCTCCTGATCTGCCCGCCTTGGCCTCCCAAAGTGCTGGGATTACAGGCGTGAGCCACCGCGCCAGGCCAAATTTCGCATATCTTTATAGCAGGAGGTAGTTTTATAAGTTGAACAAGGCGCCCATGCCCACTAAGTGTAGTCTCCTACCCTCCTGTAGGAACTGGGAGATACAGGCACTAACTCCACTGCATTTCAAAAAGATGACCCCCAAGTCCTTGAGGACACATTTCTGAGTTGTGATACTGGCAAGAGGCTCAGTTTGCCGTTATAAAGATTTGTATACATTTGAAAAGGACAGAGAAAGAAATTTTGAAAGAAAAGAGAGAAGGCTGAGAAGTCTCTATTTCCAGCAGAGGAATTAAGCCTGTTATTTTTCATTTTTATTTGCCCTTATACAGTGGTAGTTTTGTCTCTGGGCATCCAAGGAGAAATATGATGTCAGGGTGAGTAAAAATAAATGAGCCAAATATGTTACTTTTATTTTTAAAAATATATTGTGAGTCGTTTATTTTTCATCCTAAAAAAGGAAGCAAGTTCTGACACATGCTACAACATAGATGAATCTTAAAAAACGTTATGCTAAGTGAAATAAGTGAGACATAAAAGGACCAGTACAGTACAATTACACTTATATGATGTAGACAGAATAGTCAACTTCATAGAGTCGGAAAGTAGCATAGTGGTTGCCCATGGCTGGAGGGAAGGGGAAATGAGAAATTGTTGTTTAATGGCTATGGAGTTTCTATTTGGGATGACAAAAAAGTCCTGGAGAGGGATGGTGATGTTGGTTGCACAGCAATGTATTTAATGCCATTGAATTGTACACTTAAAAATGGTTAAAATGGGCCGGGCGCGGTGGCTCAAGCCTGTAATCCCAGCACTTTGGGGGCCGAGACGGGCGGATCACGAGGTCAGGAGATCGAGACCATCCTGGCGAACACCGTGAAACCCCGTCTCTACTAAAAAAAAAATACAAAAAACTAGCCGGGCGAGGTGGCGGGCGCCTGTAGTCCCAGCTACTCGGGAGCCTGAGGCAGGAGAATGGCGTAAACCTGGGAGGCGGAGCTTGCAGTGAGCTGAGATCCGGCCACTGCACTCCAGCCCGGGCTACAGAGCGAGACTCCGTCTCAAAAAAAAAAAAAATGGTTAAAATGGTAAATATATATACATAGAGTGAAATACATACTTTTTTGTATTATATTTATATATGGGTGTATACATATATATGTGTGTGTGTATACTATCAAGTATATGACCTGTGTCACTACCACTCAGGGCTAGAATGCCTTCTTAGCCACGTGGTGGTGTGGACCTGAAGTCCCAGCTGCTAGGGAGGTTGAGGCAGGAGGATCACTTCAGCCCTGCCTTTGGAGGCTACAGTGAGCTCTGATTGTGCCACTGCACTGCAGCCTGGATGACAGAGGAAGACCCAATCTCTTAAAAAATAAAAAAAAAAGGTGTATATATACACACATATTTATACATATGAATGCCTTCTTTCCTGTAGCCCAAGCTATGCTCTTTGTATTTATAGTAACCTTGGTGGAGAGGGTCGGATGGTAGACAGAGGCAGCATCTCTCTCTCCTTGACTTCCAAAACCATCAGGATATTTAAATATTTGTAAAATGTGTTTTCTACCTGTAGATGTTCTCCGAGTGCTCAGTGGGTCTGAGTCAGGTGACTTTTTTTTTTTTAAACAGTAACCACCCGGGGTGCAGTGGCTCACCCCTATAATCCCAGCACTTTGGGAGGCCAAGGTGGGCAGATCACCTGAGGTCAGGAGTTCGAGACCAGCCTAGCTAACATAGTGAAACCCCATCTCTACTAAAAATACAAAAATTAGCTGGGTGTGGTGGTGGGTGCCTGTAATCCCAACTACTCGGGAGGCTGAGGCAGGAGAATCGCTTGAACCCGGGAGGTGGAGGTTGCAGTGAGCCAAGATCGCACCATTGCCCTCTAGCCTAGGTAACAAAAGCTAAACCTGATCTCGGAAAAAAAAAAGAAAAGAAAAAAAAGTAACCATTACCGGAAAAAGACAACATTTGGACACTTAGCTTCATGACATTGACACCTAACAGGTTTTATTTCCCGATCACACATTTGGGGCGAATCTTGACCTACACTGGATTTCCACATTGTGCTGGTGGTTCTCACCCTGCAGCAATATTTGGCAGAGTCTCTTGTTCTCTTGCTCTGCTTGCCAGTGTTGAGTTTATCTCACCCAGAAGAGAGTATCCTGAAAATGGATATGTAACTGGAATTTTGGGTAAGATAAATATTTTCAAGGTTATCTGAAGACATCATAGAAGTAATATTCTTGGACAGTGAATACATTGCCCTGTATTTCAGTGCTTCCCAAACGTTGTGGACCCCAGCCTACAGTAAAAAAGACATTTCAGGCCGGGCACGGTGGCCTACACCTGTTATCCAGCACTTTGAGAGGCTGATGTGGGAGGATTGCTTGATCCCAGGAGTTCAAGACCAGTCTGGGTAACAAAGTGAGGCCCTGGCTCTGAAAAAAATGAAAAAAAATAGCTGGGCATGATGGTGCACACCTATAGTCCCAGAAACACAGGAGGCTGAGGCAAGAAGATTGCTTGAGCCCAGGAGGTTGAGGCTGCAGTGAGCCATGATGGTGCCACTGCACTTCAGCCTGGGTGACAGAGCGAGACCCTGTCTCAAAGAAAAACATTTTTTTTTTTACATCACCCAATACAATATGCACGTGTACAACTGACCCAAACATTTTGCAAAACATTAGTCACTGTTACTACACAAGATACATTCTGAAATTATTTCCTAATCCCTGCTTGTGAAAAAGCTGGTTGCAACCCACAAAGATTGATTTCATGACTCATTTATAGGTCTCAGCCCACAGTTTGGAAACAGGACACCAATGTCGACATTTTATCAAACAATATGTCTCTTTCAATTTTACTTATTGTGTCTTTAATGCCATTTAACTGCCTACATATCACATCCTATGTAGTGGAGAAAATCTGGCCCCTGTGATAGACAATGAGAGACAGTTACTGTTCTAGACTCTGTGGAAAAAAATAGTAAGGAAAATTCACCTCAGCTTCATGCTTCTACCGCCAGCGTCTGGGACTGATAAACTGGAGGGTTTCTGCACGGTAACCTTTGCTCTATGGTAGAATTTTTGAGAGAGTGAGGCAGACTTTTTTTTTCAGCTCTTTCTTCCCATATACCTTCAAAGTTCTTTTAGTTTTAATTTTTGTTTCCTTCTTTTTGCATCATCTCCTTTCTCTGACTCCTCACAAAGAAATATTCAGATCGACAAAACAAAGACTTAAATTACTTACAATCTGGCCAGGCACGGTGGTTCATGCCTTGTAATCCCAGCACTTTGGGAAGCCAAGGCAGGAGGATCACTTGAGCCCAGGAGTTTCTTTTCTTTTTTTCTTTTTTCTTTTTTTTTTTTGAGACGGAGTCTCACTCTGTCACCCAGGCTGGAGTGCAGTGGCGCGACCTTGGCTCCTGCAACCTCCACCTCCCAGGCTCAAGCGATTCTCTTGCCAGAGTAGCTGGGATTATAGGCACACCACCACACCCGGCTAATTTTTGTATTTTTAGTAGAGATGGGGTTTTGCCATGTTGGCCAGGCTGGTCTCGAACTCCTGACCTCAGGTGATCTGCCCACCTCAGCCTCCCAAAGTGCTGTGATTACAGGCATGAGCCACCACGCCTGGTCAAACCAGGAGTTTCAAACCACCATGGGCAACATAGGGTGACCCCATCTCTAAAAAAAAATAAATAATAAGCGGGCATGGTGGTGTATGACTGTAGTCCCAGCTACTTGGGAGGCTGAAGTGGGAGGCTTCCTTGAGCCTGGGATGTTATGGCTGCAGTGAACCATGATCACGCCTCTGCACTCCAGCCTGGGCCACAGAGCAAGACCCTGTCTCTAAAAAATATGCATATATATATAATAAAATAAATTACTTAAGATCTATATCCTCCTTTAGTTGATATTCTCTCAGCTAACAACCCCCAGGCCAGCTGTAGTCCCAGATATTCGGGAGGCTGAGGCAGGAGGATTATTGAGCCCAGGAGGTTGAGGCTGCAGTGAGCCATGATGGTGCCACTGCACTTCAGCCTGGGTGACAGAGTGAGACCTTGTCTCAAAAAAAAAATTTTTTTTTTACATCACCCAGTACAATATGCACATGTACAACTGACCCAAACATTTTGCAAAACAGTCACTCTTACTACATGAGATACATTCTGAAATTTTTTCCTAACAAGGGACAGCAGGACAAATTGAGAGCAAAAGATGCAAGAACACACAAGAGAAGGTAAGTAGAAGAAAGGAGCAGGGGCAGCATTGTATGGGCCAGCGCTGGTTGAATTCGCTGGCTATTCCTTCCCGTGAGGGCTTTCTGCTAGGCTGGCAAAGGCTGGTGAGAAAGCCGGCTCTGCGCTCTGCCCTGTGCTGGCCACTTTCACCTGGTGCTTTGTACCCTGCGGCAGCCCTGGGCTCAGGGCAGGTGGGAGGGATTGTACTTTCCTTTCACTTTCTCAGGACGCCAAACCTGACACCTGGGGCCAGAACTACACTTCCCACCAAGCAGCGAGGCAGGAGGAAGAAGGGGCCACTGAGGGCTGAAAAGGAAAACCAGAAGAAAGAGAAAACATTACCTGCTGACCAGCAGAGGTGAGAGAGCCGGACAGGTAAGTGACAGGTGAACCAGGAAGGCAAAGGTTGCGGGATGCCGGCGGGAGGACATCATCGGGGTGGACGCTGCCTGTGTCTCCCAGCAAGGCTTGTAAGCTAAATGAAAGGGGGCTTTTGTGGAAACCCTGAGGACTCCGGAGGGTGAGGGGAGACATGGAAGTAAAGTCTCAGCTCAAGTTACAGTGATAAGACCAAGACACCGGAAGTGGAATGGCTGTCTTTAGTTGAAAAGTCAGACAGGAAAAAAGTGGTTTGCTTGTGTCTGTTGTCTGCTGGATCATCTACCCATATTGATTTCAGAGAGGTCCAAGAGAGGTATGGGATCCTTCTTCATCGCCTTAAAGCCCTGGGTTTTTGCATGCAGATTGGACACTTGAGTGCATTTTACCTTGTGTGATGAGACAGACTGTCCTTGTCTATGACTTTAGAGAAAACCAGGGTAAAACAGAGAAGTGAAGAAGGATGTCACAAGGCAGGGGCAATTTGCAGCACATCAGATGTGATCATTAAGTGGGATCAGGTTTCAGTTACTTTTAGAGCTATTGGATGAGGAGTCCGAACACACTCTCATGAAGAACAGTTAAAGAAGATGGAGATATTCTCCTCGGGGGGATATTCTTGCTGCTTCAAATATCTGATGGGCTGTCATGTGGAACAGGAATGTGATGTGTCTTGGCAGAGTAAGGATAGCACTGAGCTAGACAGATGGAAACCTCATGGAGGGAGGTGTCAATCCCACAGAAGTGAGAACTGCCCGGTGTAAAATGGAAATTTTTCAGGAGGTAGTCAGTTCCTTGTGATCAGAGATATTGAAGCATAGGTGGACATTTAAGCCAGGGATGCTGATGGTGGGAGTAAAGTTTCAGGTAGGTGACTTGGTCAATTGGTGTTTTCCAAGCCTGGCTCGTCATCAGAATCACCTGGGGAAGAGACAGCATGAGAGAGAGGAGGGGAGGGGAGGGGAGAGAGAGAGGTTTTTAGTTTTGTGTTTTTGTTTGTTTGTTTGTTTGTGTTTTGAAATGGAGTTTCGCTCTTGTTGCCCAGGCTGGACTGCAATGGTGCGATCTTGGCTCACTGCAACCTCTGCCCTCTGGGTTCAAGCCATTCTCCTGCCTTAGCCTCCCCTGTAGCTGGGATTACAGGTGCATGCCACCACACCCGGCTAATTTTTTGTATTTTTAGTAGAGATTGGGTTTCACCATGTTGGCCAGGCTGATCTTGAACTCCTGACCTCAAGTGATCCACCTGCCTCAGCCTCCCAAATTGCTGGGATTACAGGTGTGAGCCACTGCACCTGGCCTATTTCTTATGATTTTAATAAAGATGCGCTGGGGGTTGGGGGGGCGGTGGGGAGTCTCATTATGTTGACCAGACTACTTTCAACCTCCTGGTATCAAGTGATCCTTCTGCCTCAGCCTCCCAAAGTGCTGGGATTACAGGCATGAGCGACTGCGCCTGGCACAGTAAACGTATTTTAAAGTTAAAAACACAAAACACAAAACCTGGCCTGGTGCAGTTTTGAGATCATACCACTGCACTCCAACCTGAGTGACAGAGCAAGACTCTGTCTCAAAAAAAAGAATACTAAGAAATAATTTTTAAAAGAACAAGGTAAAATTAGTTTAGCAAGTCTGGGATGAGCTCCAAAAATATATTTTTTTCAATGATATTCCCAGATAATTCTGACCATCAGTTAGTTTGTGAAACACTGTCATTAGAAACCTTTATTTTCCAACCAGACACTGTGGCTCATGCCTGTAATCTCATCACTTTGGGAGGCTGAGGTGGGCAGATCGCCTGAGGTCAGATGACTGGAGTTCATAACCAGCCTGCTCAACATCATGAAACCCCGTATCGACTAAAAATGCAAAAATTAGCTGGGCCCGGTGGCAGGCGCCTGTAATCCCAGCTACTTGGGAGGCTGAGGCAAGAGAATCGCTTGAATCAGGGAGGCCGAGGTTGCAGTGAGCCAAGATCACACCATTGCACTCCAGTCTGGGCAAGAAGAATGAAACTCTGTCTCAAAAAAAAAAAAAGAAGGAAATATATATTTTTCAATGATACTCGCAGATAATTCTGATAATCAGTTAGTTTGTGAAACACTGTCATTAGAAACCTTAATTTTCCGGCAGTGCGTGGTGGTTCAGGCCTGTAATCCCGGCACTTTGGGAGGCTGAGGTGGGTAAATCACTTGAGGTCAGGCATTCGAGACTAGCCTGACCAACATGGTGAAACCCTGTCTCTACTAAAAATACAAAAATCAGCTGGGTGTGGTGGTGCAGGTCTATAGTCCCAGCTACTCAGGAGGCTGAGGCAGGAGAATCATTTGAACTGGAAGGCAGAGGTCGCAGTGGGCTGAGATCATGCCATTTCACTCCAGCCTGGGTGACAGAGCAAGACTCTGTCTCAAAAAAAAGGAAAAAGGAAAAAAAAAACCTTTGGTAAAACATGCCATAACCAGCCTTTGGTAAATTATGCCATAACATTATAGCCATGATTTTAATTTTGAATATTCTCAAAATCCTAATTTCCTGGTTGAAAAAATTAGGCTCCAAACAAGACAAAAAGGCCATGTCACTCTTCTCCAAGTTGACTTACCAATCACCGCTTATCAGTCCTTGTTGCTGGCTGCCTGGATGGTCAGCATTTTTGTTTTTGGTTTGTTTTTTGAGATGGAGTTTCACTCTTGTTGCCCAGGCTGGAGTGCAATGGCGTGATCTCAGCTCACTGCAACCTCTGTCTCCTGGGTTCAAGGGATTTTCCTGCCTCAGCCTCCCAAGTAGCTAGAATTACAGGCATGAGCCACCACACCCAGGCGGTTTAATATTTTTAGTAAAGACGGGGTTTCTCCATGTTGGTCAGGCTTGTCTCAAACTCCCAACCTCAGGTGATCCATCCACCTCAGCCTCCCAAAGCACTGGGATTACAGGCATGAGCCACCGTGCCTGGCCTGGATGGTCAGCCTTATAGCAGTTGGGAGTCTTTCTCCCCAGGTAAAATTGACACTGGTGGGATGTCCAATGGCAGGTGAGTCACTGCTGTAGGCATTTCCTCAGCCATCCTCCTGCTTTCCAGGCACTCTGATGGAGCATGTGGCACCTCATCTCTAGGCCTAGGATATATCACTGCTTTTATCTGATGGTGTTGACCGTCCACTGGACCCACCAGAGAATGGCAGTAGAAACTCTTTATTCCAAGAGCACCCCTAAAGTAAGATCAACACATGTAAGGCAGATGTCCGCTTATGGGGGCAACTCCTCTATGCCTAACTAGCATGATTAGCATCATCCTCTCACAAGGATGTAGTGCTGTGAAGGTAATGACCTCCCTCCGTCTTGTCTTGTACTGGATCCCCAGTTCCTGGTGCTGAATTCCATCCTTTCTACCTAGCTCTGTTCTAGGTGGCAAGAACCATGCACTTCTCCGGCTCAGCCAGGGCAGCAGATGAGAACTTTGACTATCTGTTCAAGATTATCCTCATTGGGGATTCCAATGTGGGGAAGACGTGTGTGGTGCAGCATTTCAAGTCTGGAGTCTACACGGAGACACAGCAGAACACGATTGGAGTGGACTTTACCGTGCGCTCCCTTGATATTGATGGCAAGAAAGTGAAGGTCAGAGGGCACTGGGACGGGACTGATTCCACCTTTTTTGTTTTTTTTTTTTTTTTGAGACAGAGTCTTGCTCTATTGCCCAGGCTGGAGTGCAGTGGTGCAATCTTGGCTCACTGCAAGCTCTACCTCCCAGGTTCACGCCATTCTCCTGTCTCAGCCTCCCAAGTAGCTGGGAGTACAGGTGCCCAACACCACGCCTGGCTAATTTTTTTTTTTTTTTTTTTTTGATATTTTTAGTAGAGACAGGGTTTCACCGTGTTAGCCAGGATGGTCTGGATCTCCTGACCTCGTGATCTGCCCGCCTTGGCCTTCCAAAGTGCTGGGATTATAGGTGTGAGCCACCGCGCCCAGCCAGTTCCACCTTTTTTAGCCAGAATTCCCAACAACAAAGCACATGTCTGAGCGATAAAATATTTCAATACAAAACATGAAATCATACAAATAGTGGAAGAAAACATGGGAGTATTTATTTTTCTCATCATGGAATGGGAAAATCAGGCTTTAAATGAGACACGAATCCAGAAGCCAATAAAAAAAATATTGCTGAATCTAACTATGAAGCTCAAATTTATACATTTCTCTAACTATATAAAGGTCAAATTGGCTTTTATTTATTTATTTTTTTGGCGGGGGGAGGGGATAGACAGGGCTTTTTGTTTTTGTTTTTTTGAGGCAGAGTCTCACTCCATCACCCAGGCTGGAGTCCAGGAGCGCAATTTCAGCTCACTGCAATCTCTGCCTCCTGGGCTCAAGCAATTCTCATGCCTCAGCATTCCAAGTAGCTGGATTTACAGGTGCACACCACCACGCCTGGCTAAGTTTTGTATTTTTAGTAGAGATAGGGTTTCACTATGCTGGCCAGACTGGTCTCAAGGTCCTGACCTCAAGTGATCCACCTGCCTCTACCTCCCAAAGTGCTGGGATTACAGGTGTGAGCTACCACACCCAGCCTGAGACAGGGTCTTGTTCTGTCACCCAGGCTACAGTCCAGTGGCATGATCACAGCTCACTCCAGCCTCCATCTCCCTGGCTCAAGCAATCCTCTCACCTCAGCCTCCTGAATAGCTGGGACCACAGGTGCACCCCACCATGCCCAACTCATCTTTTAAATTTGTTGTAGAGACGGGATTTTCCTGTGTTGCCCAGGCCAGTCTCAAACTCCAGGGCTCAAATCCTCCCACTTCACCCTCCCAAAGTGCTGGGATTACAGGCATGAGCCACCATGCCTGGCCTTAAAAGGTCAAATGTTCTAGCGGCCAGGCAAGGTGGCTCACACTTGTAATCCTAGCACTTTGGGAGGCCGAGGCAGATGGATCACTTGAGGTCAGGAGTTCAAGACCAGCCTGGCCAACATGTTGAAACCCTGTCTCTACTAAAAATACAAAAATTAGCCAGGCGTGGTGGCTGGCGCCTATAGTCCCAGCTACTCAGGAGGCTGAGGCACAAGAATGTCTCAAACCTGGGAGGCAGAGGTTACAGTGAGCCGAGATCATACCATTGCACTCCAGCCTAGGCGACAGAGTCTCAAAAAAAAAAGAGGTCAAATTTTCTATGTACTCAAAAATGCCATAAACTGCCAGGCACGGTGGCTCATGCCTGTAATCCCAGCACTTTTGGAGGCTGAGGCAGGAAGATTACCCAAGGTCAGGAGTTCAAGACCAGCCTGGCCAACGTGGTGAAAACCTGTCTCTACTAAAAATACAAAAAATTAACTGGGCGTGGTGGCACACGCCTGTAATCCCAGCTGCTCGGGAGGCTTGAGGCATGAAAATTACTTGAACCCAGGAGACAGAGGTTGCAGTGAGCCAACATCACACCATTGCACTCCAGCCTGGGAGTCAGCAAGACTCTGTCTCAAAAAGATAAAATAATAAATAAAAATTTTAAAAATTTAAAAATACCTCAAAGAAATCAACAGAAAGGGCTAGATGAAACAAGTAACAAAATCTCATTAATTATTAAATCTGGATGATAGGTGTATGAGGGTTTTTTTTTTTTTTTTTTTTTTTTTTTTTTTTTTAATTTCTTGGTGGATGCATGGATTAGTCACTGCAGCTCCGGTTATTCTCCTGCTCACTCGAGTACTGGACAGGCGCCTCGCTTTTTTTATTTTGTAGAATTTATTGTTTATTTTCGGAGTGGAAGGACCAGGGGTATGGGTCTCACTCTGTTGCCCAGATGGAGGGCAGTGGCGCATGATCTCAGCTCACTACAGCCTCAACCTCCTGTGCTCAAGGGATCCTCCTGCGTCAGTCTCCCAAGTAGCTGGGACTACAGGCATGCGCCGCCATGCCCAGCTAATTTTTGTATGTTTCGTAGAGATGGGGTTTCACCATATTGCCAGACTGGTCTCAAACTCCTGAGCTTAAGCAATCCGCCACCTCAGCCTCCCAAAGTGCTGGGATCATAGGCATGAGCCACTGCACCCAGCCTCATTTTTTCTATTATCTCTAGCTTTGGTGTATGGTTTGCAAACTTTCTCTAAAAAATAAATTTTATATAAATAGTGTGAGAATATGAAGAAATTGTTACCCTCAGACACTGTGAGAGGCTGTGTGAATTGGTGCTGCTGCTTGGGTGGCTAATTTGGGAGGCATTATTGTGAGGACATTCCAGACATGAACAGCTTGAGTGTTCCTTTAAAATCAAAACAGTTCGGCCAATATTATCACCTTTGCCAGTGTTCAGATCCATGCGCAGGCTCAAAAGATGAGTCCCCAAATCTGGACCACGTGATGAATCAGGTGAAAAGGCAAAGAACACAAGACCCCAGGATAAAATAGGTCCGCCTCTCGGACAGCAGCATCCCTTCAATCAGGGCTGTCCAAGCTTCTGGTTTCCCTGGGCCATGTTGGAAGAAGAATTATCTTGGACCACACATAAATTACACTAACACTAATGATACCTGATGAGCTAAAAAAAAAAAAAAAATTGCAAAAAGATCTCATAATATTTTAAGAAAGTTTAAAAATTTGTGTTGGGCCACATTCCAAGCTGTCCTGGGCCAAATGTGTCCCGCGGGTTGCAGAATGGACGAGTTTGTCTTAGATGGTAGTTCCCCAGCCAAGGAGGATACCCAAGTCATCCAGTGAAAAATTGAAAGAATAGATTCCTGCATCCTACTCCAGATCTACTGGGTCTGAATATCTAGAAGTGAGACCCAGAAAACTGTGTTTTTAAGACGATGTAGGTGAAGGAGTTCCCATTACCTGTGGGAACCCCTGATTTGGACTCCCCTTCCTGTCCTTCTCCAGATGCAGGTGTGGGACACAGCTGGCCAGGAGCGCTTTCGCACCATCACCCAAAGCTACTACCGCAGTGCCCACGCGGCCATCATCGCCTATGACCTCACCCGGCGGTCCACGTTTGAGTCCGTCCCTCACTGGATTCATGAGATAGAGAAATATGGAGCTGCAAATTTGGTCATTATGCTGATTGGTATGGCATTTTTGAAGTTTTTAACTTTGGTTTATTCTCCTCTGAGGATGCTCAGCTTTCTGCGTGTTTCTGATGGCAGTGGAAAATGAAATCTTAAATGTGCAAGTGATGGATAGGGCCCCAGAAAGTGCCTTTAAACTGGATCCCACCATGCCCAGTCCCTTTTTTTTTTTTTAATTTTTGTAAAGATGGGGTTTTGCCTTATTGCCCAGGCTGGTCTTGAACTCCCAGGCTCAAGTGATCCTCCTGCCTGGCCCTCCCAAAGTGCTGGGATTACGGCATGAGCCACTGTGCCTGGCCCTTTGTTTTTATTTTTGACAATCTCTACTGCAGAGTGAACAGGTGAATTTTGTTTTTTACTTGTTTATGGGAATCTAGTAGGTATATATATATTTATTGGGTACAAGTGGGTTTGTTTGTTTGTTTGTTTGTTTTTGAGACGGAGTCTTGCTCTGTCACCCAGTCTCGAGTGCCGTGGCGCGATCTCAGCTCATTGCAAGCTCCGCCTCCCAGGTTCATGCCATTCTCCTGCCTCAGCCTCCCGAGTAGCTGGGACTACAGGTGCCTGCCACCACGCCCGGCTAATTTTTTTGTACTTTTAGTAGAGATGGGGTTTCACCATGTTAGCCAGGATGGTCTCGATCTCCTGACCTTGTGATCCCCCCACCTCGGCCTCCCAAAGTGCTGGGATTACAGGCGTGAGCCACCACTCCCGGCCACAAGTGGATTTTTAAAAAGAAAAAAGAAGAGTCAATTTATAAGTGTTTACCAATAATGTACATTAAAATACATAAACGGCCGGGCGCGGTGGCTCAAGCCTGTAATCCCAGCACTTTGGGAGGCCGAGACGGGCGGATCATGAGGTCAGGAGATCGAGACCATCCTGGCTAACACGGTGAAACCCCGTCTCTACTAAAAAATACAAAAAACTAGCCAGGCGAAGTGGCGGGTGCCTGTAGTCCCAGCTACTTGGGAGGCTGAGGCAGGAGAATGGCATGAACCCGAGAGGAGGAGCTTGCAGTGAGCTGAGATCCGGCCACTGCACTCCAGTCTGGGTGACAGAGCAAGACTCCGTCTCAAAAAAAATAAAAAAATAAAAAATACATAAACTAGGTGGGGCGCGGTGGCTCATGCCTGTAATCCCAGCACTTTGGAGGGCAAGGCAGGTAAATTGCTTGAGCCCAGGAGATCGAGACCAGCCTGAGCAACATGGCAAAACCTCATCTCTACAAAAAATTAAAAAAATTAGCTGAGTGTGGTGGTGTGCACCTGCAGTCCCAGCTACTCAGGAGGCTGAGGAGGGAGGATTGCTTGAGCCCAGCAGGCAGAGGTTGCAGTGAGCTGATTATACCATTGCACTCTGTATGGGTATCCAGTTTTCCCAGCACCATCTATTGAAGAGACTGTCCTTTCTCCAACATGTGTTCTTAGCACCTTTGTTGAAAGTGACTTTATTGTAGATATATGGATTTATTTCTGGATTCTGTATTCTGTTCCATTGGTCTATGTGTCTGTTTTTATCAGTACCACACTGTTTTGGTTACTATAGTTCTATAGTATAATTTGAAGTCAGGCAATGTGATTTCTCGAGGTTGGTTCTTTTTGCTCAGGATATCTTTGGCTATTCTGAGTCTTTCATGGTTCCATATAAATTTTAGGATAATCTTTTCTATTTCTGTGATGAATGTCTTTGGGCCAGGTGTGGTGGTTCATGCCTGTAATCCCAGCACTTTGGGAAGCTGAGGCAGGAGGATAGCTTGAGACCATCCTGGTGAACATAGTGAGACCTTATCTCTACAAAAACTAAAACAAAATAAAATAGTGAGATGTGGTGGGAGGTTGGGGTGGGGGGATCACTTAAGCCCAGGAATTTGAGGCTGCAGGGAGCTGTGATCACACCACTGCACTCCAGCCTGGGTGAGAAAGCAAAACCTGGTCTCTTAAAAAAAATAAATAAATAAATAATAAAAGGAAACAGTTATGTCGTAGTAGAGCAAAGATGGGAGAGCTGTGCCATGGCATACAAAGGGCCAGAGTGGACAGGCAGGTGCAGCCCATGCCCTCCAGGGGCAGAAGGAAACTCAGCAATAGTGACTCCTAGAAAAGGGCAGAATAGCACGCATCTCACTTGGGAATGAAGCAGTTCTAAGCTACATGCGGTTTCCCCAGGAATGTGGACCAGATCTACCTTTTTATTAAGGTCATGCATCTCCAGGACACAATGGAGGCAGTTCTTCCTCTGGGCTGAAGGGAAAGCTGTCCAACCTCAGGTGCCTCCCTCTGTGCTACCTTCTCTCTTTTTGAGACGGAGTCTTGCTCTGTTGCCCAGGCTGGAGTACAGTGGCGTGACCTTGACTCACTGCAATCTCTGCCTCTCAGGTTCAAGCAATTCTCCTGCCTCAGCCTCCCGAGTAGCTGGGATTACAGGCTCCCACCACCACCCTCAGCTAATGTTTGTATTTTTAGTAGAGACAGGATTTCACCATGTTGGCCAGGCTGGTCTGGAACTCCTGACCTCAGGTGATCCACCCACCTCGGCCTCCCAAAGTGCTGGGATTACAGGCATGAGCCACCACACCTGGCCCCACTGTGCTATCTTTGAAGGCAGCTCCCTGTCTCCAGCCCACAAGCCCCCAGCTGCCTCTCCCCCAGCCAGCTCCATCTTTAACTAGTCAATCTGTGAAACAGATGCATCAGAGAAGGGTGACAGATGCCAGGATGTCGCAGGATTTCCAGGAGTCTCAGAATGTTTTCTTGGTATTTTTACCCTAGTCTGTCTTTCATAACAACCATCTCTGCCTCACTTCTTCCTCAGTTCTAGAAATACCCCCAAAGATGACCTGGAGTGTTGCAGTCTCCCAGTTGATAAGGTGTCCCTGTCAGAGGGCTGACACAGGGGCCTTCCTGTTTTCTGTATGTGGCCTCCCCGCCTGAATCCAGAAAAATTTATGTCATCCCTCACGGAAGTGTCCCTGCACATATTGCCTCATACAGGTGCTTCTTTCTGTCTCAGAAGTTTATCCCCAGCTCCTTGAAGCCACTTCATCAGCACAGGAATGACCCCGGTGTCAGTGGTTGATTGCATGTTGATTTGTACAGCTCTTCCTCCTCTAGCTGGCCACAGGGGGCCCGGCTCCTCCTAATGGCCCCATGTAAAACCCTCAAAGGCCCCCATTTCCCTTAGAATAATGCACATATTCCTGAACATGGTTCATAAGGTACTTCAGATCCCAGCCCTGCTTTCTTCTGGGCATGGCTGGCTTCCCATCTTTCTCCCATCCCCACTCCATCGCAGCAAGGGCTTTAGGAGGTGACCTCATTTTTTATTTATTTATTTATTTTAAAAAAATTTTTTTTTTGAGATAGGGTCTTGCTCTGTTGCCCAGGCTGGAGTGCAGTGGTGCAGTCTCGGCTCACTGCAACCTCTGCCACCAGCGTTCAAGTGATTCTCTTGCCTCAGCCTCCCAAGCAGCTGGGATTACAGGCACCTGCCACCATGCCTGGGTAATTTTTGTATTTTTAATAGAGACAGAGTTTCACTGTGCTGGACAGACTGGTCTCAAACTCCTAACCTCAAGTGATCCATCCCCCTCGGCCTCCCAAAGTGCTGGGATTATAGTGAGCCGACCATTTTTTATAGGTTATCCTGGATGCTCTGTCTCATAAGTTTCTTCAGCATCTGATAGTTGTCCCTCTAAGGATCTTAGCCAAACCTTCTGCTTAAAGTCCTGTTATATTTACAGGTCCACAGTCACTCAACAAAAACCCTCAGCAGGGTTTTTTTCAAATATTTCAGAGTTCAGAATTTGTCAGATTTTAGAAAAGTGTACTCTGTGTTACATAACACCCTCAGCAGGGTCTGGGCCAATGCCCCATGGCCAAATACATTACTATTTATGCAGTCAAATGTATAAATAGTCATACAGAACAGATTGAATAAAATCTTCAAGGCCGGGCGCAGTGGCTCACGCCTATAATCCCAGCACTTTGGGAGGCCGAGGTGGGCGGATCACTTGAGGTCAGGAGTTTGAGACCAGCCTGGCCAACATGGTGAAACCCTGTCTCTATTAAAAATACAAAAAAAATCAGCCAGGCATGGTGGTGAGTGCCTGTAGTCCCAGCTACTTGGGAGGCTGAGGCATGAGAATCGCTTGAACCCAAGAGGCGGAGGTTGCAGTGAGCCAAGAGCATGCCACTGCACTCCAGCCTGGGTGACAGAGGGAGATTCTGTCTCAAACAAATAAATAAATAAATAAATAAAGAGTTGACTCAGTGGTATATGCTGTAGTCTCAGCTACTCCAGAGGCTGAGGTGGGCACATCACTTGAGGCTAGGAGTTCAAGGCTGAAGTGAACTATTATTGAGCCACTGTGCTCCAGCCTAGGTAACAGATGGAGACCCTATCTCTAAAAAAAAATAATAATAAAACAAAAAAAGTCAAAATGCACAGATGGCGCAGGATGCAGGGAGTAGATCAGATTCCTGGCTGCAGAGGTTCCTTTTCCCACCACATCCCTTCCTCCACCAGGGGCTCTCATTCCTTTCTTCTAGAAGCAGAGCTCAGCCCTGAGCTTCAGGCTCACCAGCTAAAAACACGCGCATGCTTCTCCTGAAGGTGCGCGCTATATGAGCTTCCTGTGGCTGCTGTAACCAGCTGCCACAAGCTGGGGGCTAAAAACAGCAGATGTGTTCTCCCACTGTTCTGGAGGCTACAAGTCTGAAATCGGTCCTGCGGGGCTGAAATGGAGGTGTTAGCAGGGCCGTGCCCCTCTGGAAGCTCTAGGGAAGACTCGGTCCCTCACCTCCTCTGGCTTCTGGTGCAATCTTTGGCTTTGTGTGCCTCTGCCTTCACATCACCTTCTCCTCCCTGTATGGGATCAAGGCTCCTTCTGCCTCCGCCTTGTAAGGACACTTGCGGTTGCATTCAGGGCCTGCCCAGCTAATCCAGAATAATCCCCCCATCTCAAGATCCTCAAATTAATCACACCTGCAAAGACCCT